GCCGCCGCCAGCTACAAAGGACCGGGGAGGCGGGGAAGGCGGCTGGGGCGGGGAGCGCTGGTGACGTGCGGGAGCCGCAGCGCGCGGGGCGGGCGGCCGAACCGCAGTGCCCTCCTAGCACCCGCTCCCCACCCCCAGGCGGAGCGCAGGGCTCGGGCAGAGCGAGGGCTGGGGGCCCTGCACACACACACACACACACACACACACACACACACACACACACGGCACGTATCTCACACGCGGCAGTTTCACGGGCATGCTAGTATGCGTATGGGAATCAATTACATCCCTGCTCCCTCTGGAGACATCAGGCACACCATGGACAATTTGCACACACAGACATATATCTCCGTACACATCCCCAGTCAAACACACACACACACACACACACACACACCAGAGATTCTCACTGTCAGACAACCCATGCATTCCCAGCATCACATCAGAAAAAATTTAAATGCACAATCGGAGACTTACACATGCGATCTTCATGCATTCAGGCACCACTACTACACCCATTGCGCAATAGGACCTGGCACTAGTGTAGGTGCTGGGGACTGGGCCAAGAGTGAAACAAAGTCCCTGCTCTCAGAGACAAGACCGTTCTAAGGAGAGAGGACACAGGATGTAGCCCCCAGGGCCAGAGGGGCCCCAGAGGCTTACACCTGGTCCAGTGACTGATGCATACTCCAGTGACAACTCACAACAAATTTTTCCACGCCAGTGCCAAAGGCAAACTCACAAGGCTCCTCCACATAGAGACCCATGTCTGCTAACAGGGGACCCACACACATCCACACCATACACAAGGGAAATGGGAAGTTCAAACAGAAATACCCAGAGACAGTCACACAAGGACAGAGCATCATCACACATGCACTGGCAATCACCCAGAGAGACCACTAATCCATCCAGGGGCACCTCCCATATCCTGGGTACAGCACACCCTAGCTATGCCTGGAGCTTGATGTCTGAAGGTTCCTGGGTTTCTCTGACCTGGACCGGAGAGTGTGGGAACAAGGGATCTCCTCTTTGACCAGGCATCAAGATGTCTCTGATAGACAAGGTCCCTCATTTCTTCGTGATTTTCCAGCAGAGTCATGACAGTCTCTAGGGACCAAGGAATAGCAACTGCTTTTTCTGGATGGAAGGCTCGCCAGCTGCCAGCCCCCTCTGTGAGCAAGTCCAGACTGGCAGTTGGGATTGGTGGGGAGCAGCGGGGAGCCTGGCTCAGCATCTGCCTTGGAGTATGCGGCCTGTGCTTGGAGCTGTCCCTTCAGCACCCCACCGCAGGTCTGAGAGCCTAGTGGTCAACCTTGGAGAATCTCAGCAGACACTGGTGGCTATGACTGTTGAAACTACAACATGAGGACTCTGATGTAGGGTCTGTGGCTACAGTTGACACCTCACTTCCTCTCAACCCTGGAGCAAGCCAGTCTATGCAGCAGGTAGGACCCTTCCACTGTGAGGTTAACAAAAGAGAAGAGGCAACGGCTATCTGAGGATCCATCTCAGGCTGCTGACTCAGAGGGGCAGGGACTTGAGGCTCATCTGAGGTCAATGGTCAGTTGGAAAGTCTCTTTCCTTCCTTCCTTCCTTCCTTCCTTCCTCCCTCCCTCCTTCCTTCCTCCTCCTTCCTTCCTTCCTTCCTCCCTCCCCCTTCCTTCCTTCCTTCCTTCCTTCCTTCCTTCCTTCCTTCCTTCCTTCCTTTCCTTCCTTCCCCCTTGCCCATACTTGGCAGGATCTAATGCTGGGGACACAGGAAAGTATATACAAAATCTCTGCCTCCAATAAGAGTATATCCTGCAGGGCTGGAGAGATGGCTTAGTGGTTAAAATCACTTGATACTCTTGCAGAGGACCCAGGTAGCACTAACACAGCAACTAACAATCACCTGTAACTCAGATTCCAGATCTGACACTCTCCTCTGGCCTCCATGGGCACTGCATACAATGTGGTATGCATACATATACACAGGCAAAACATTTCATATACATAAAATAAAAAAAATAAAAAGTAGGGCCTGAAGAGATAGCTCAGTGGTTAAGAGCGCTGATTGCTTGCTCTTGTAGAAGACCTGGGTTCAACTCCCAGCACCCACATAGTGGCTAACAACCATCCATAACTCCAATTCCAGGGGACCCAATGCCTTCTTCTGACTTCCAAGGGCACTGCACAACATGGGTGAACTTAAACACATGCAGGCAATATACTCATACACATAAAAAAAATTTTTAAATATTTTATTGTTTTTATTTTATGTGTATGAGTGTATTGCCTGCATGTATGTGAGTATACCCATGTCCTGCAATGCCGCGGAGGTCAGAAGAGGGCTTTGGGTTCCCCTGGAACTGGAGTTAAGGATGGTTCATAGCCGCCATGTGGGTGCTAGGAATCGAACCCAGGGTCCTCTGCAAGAGCAGTCAGTGCTCTTAACCACTGAGCCATCTCTCCAGCCCCAAAAGAAATATTTTTTAAAAGTTTATTCCAGCCAGGCATGGTGGCACATGCCTTTAATCCCAGCACTCCAGAGGTAGAGGTAGATGGATCTCTGTGAGTTCGAGGCCAGCCTGGTCTACATAGTGAGTTCCAGGACAGCTGGGGTACAGGGAGACCCTGTCTCAAAAAGACAAAAAATAAAAGTGTATTCTAGTGAGGGTGTGAGGAAAAACAACAGAAAATGTGATCACACACAGAGCCCACTGTCTTCCACCCATCCCACCCACATCCTAGCTCTTCTTTCCTCTTGTTCCCAAACTGTATACACCGATTTGGGTCACCACAGTTCTGCTCTTGAGGTCAGAAGAACTCCAGGTCGCACTGCACTGCAAGTGCTTTCCCCTGAAAACTGTGAAATAGTATCCTAGCATGTCCCAAGCAAGGAAAGTTGATGCTCGAGTCTACATGGGAACTTCCTCCAGAGCCTCACAAATACTCGTAGTGATAAAATTCAGAAAAATAGCTGAGACTCCAAGATTTTGAGTTAAATGGGACTTTGAAGGCCAAGTTTTCCACTCTGTGCTTGAATCTACCTTCAGCATTTTGGGGGCACAGTTTCTGGTTTTGCTAATGTGATGGAGACTTTACTGCTTTTTAAAGAAAACCCCGGGGCTGGGGAAATAGCTCAGCAGTTAGAGCACTTGTTGAGGACCTGAGTTTGGTTCCCAGCATCCACAACCATCTGTAACTCCAGTTCCAGGGAGAATCTGACACCTCTTCTGGCCTCTACAGGTACATACACACACACACACACACACACACACACACACAACATACAGCTACACAGACATAAATAAAATCCTTTGAGAGAGAGAGAGAGAGAGAGAGAGAGAGAGAGAGAGAGAGAGAGAGAGAGAGAGAAAGGAAAATCCCTTCCTTCAAGAGAAGGCACTGGGCAGTTTGCAAAGCTAGAGGGTACAATGTGAGCTCTTTAGGCAGAAGCAAGACAGGAAGATAATAGTTCCTGTTTACCCAGTGTTTGCTACCTGCCTGGGGCACTTTACAAACCGGAACTCTTTTGTGACCCTCTGCAAACTTTAAAGATGCCCAGGACACCTGATCAACTCCATCCTGTGGCAGACACTGTGACCTCTCAGTCCTCCGGAGAAGTTATCCTAAGTGAGTTACACTGCAGTGTGTGATGAGACCCAACCTTGAGCATGTCCCTAGATGACTATGAAGCCTTCCAGGGCACTGGCAAAGGACAGAGATGTCAGATGGTAGCAGAAAAGACAAACTCAACTCCAGGGTGTATTTTGTTTAGACAAACGAAGCAGGTACAAAAATTAAGTTATCCAGGGGCTGGAAAGATGGCTCAGAGGTTAACAGCACCGGCTGCTCTGGCAGAGGACCCAGGTTTGAGTACCAGCACCCACATGGTGGCTAACAACCATCCATAACTCCAGTTTCAGGGGATCCAACACCCTCTTCTTACTTCCACGGACATTGCATGACATGTGCACACTTACCTACATGCAGGCAATACACTCATACACATAAAATAAAAATAAAATATAAAAATAAGTTATCCAAAGACTATTTTCAGAAAATGGAATTGTTTCTTTGTAAGTCTTCTGAGAAATGATGTAGTGCTCTGCTCTTCTGAGACGTTCAGAGAAAGTGGGAGAGCTTCCTGTAGCTCAACACCAGCCAGAGACACAGATCCAGGCCAGTCAAGGTGGCTGAGGAAAACTGTTCGGAGGTGCTCACACACTCTCTGAGACCTATGCACCTTAACTCACGTGCCAAATGAGGACTGAACAGTGTGCTTAAATGAAAGATGTGGAGATAGAATATTCTAGATTATGTGGGCAGCACCACTCAGGTGACAAACAAATAAATGTGGAGGTGTTGGCTTTTCCCTGTAGGCTTATGGAAATAAGAAATTAACACAATAATATAATGGATCACAAAGAATCTTATCTCATTGTTTGAACCAAACACATTTGATTAGTGAGGAAAATAATTCATTCCCCACCAGAAAAGGAGTCTAACTCAGTGCCCTTTTGAATTACATCAGGGCTGGGCATAGTGGCACTCGCCTTTAATCCCAGCACTCAGGAGGCAGAGGCACGTGGATCTCTGTGAGTTCAAGGCCAGCCTGGTCTCTATAGCGAATCCAGGCCAGCTGGGGCTACAGGGAGACCC